GTTAGGTCGTGCTTGGCTCTAGATGAAGGATCGTCCTTGAGTTTTGCCACTTGCCTGCCCTGACACGCATATCTGCCTCCCCTCTTCCTCCTCCTTTCCCTCCTCCCTCCCCTCCGGTTCCCCTACTCCATGCTCCTCCCCTCTCCCTCCTTCCCGCCTTCCCTCTGTCCTCTGCCCATCTCCTCCTCGCTCCCTCTTCTCTCCTTCCTGCATGCTGCTCCTCCTCCTCCTCCTTTCCTCCTCCTCCCCCCTCCTCCCTCGTCCCTCTCTTCCTCCTCCTCCTGTTCCCCTCCTCCCTCCCTCCTCCTCGCTCCCTCCTCCCCTCCTCCCTCCCTTCCCCCCTCCCCCCTCCCCCCCTCCCTCTTCCCCCATTTACCCACACCTTGCCGCTAACCCTGATACTTTTGCCTCGAAGGGAATTTCTCTCTTTTTTTCTCTTCTCTTTTTTTTTTACTGAAATTTCTCTTTCTACGAACTGGTAATTGATATTTTTACCTCTTGTTTGTTTTTACTTTGATTCTGTATGTTGTTGTTGCGTTATTATTATTGTTATTATGTTAGATTGGAGGGGGGCGATTGTTATCGTTATTTATAGTCATTATCGTTATTGGTATTGATATTATGGTTATTATTATATTATCATCTTATGATCATGTATCATCATTTTTTATTGTCATCGATCATCATTTTATTATATGCATCATCGATTATATTATTCAATTATTATTATTTTATTAGCATTATTATCATCATTATCATCATTATCGATTATTATCATTGATTATCGATTATTATCATTGAACACTAACTATTACTACTACTACTCCTACTACTACTACTACTACTATCACTATGGTGCTTTGATGTCCTTCAATTTTGTCCCCTATTCTGCTTTCGTTGTTGCTTTTCGTATTACTCCTCGCCACATCTCTCGCCGGCAATGACGATGATGGACCTGCGCCTCGTTGCATCTCGGGAAAGGACCTTCGGAGCTGCATCTGGCCGCTCTGGTCCGAAGCAGGAAGGAGGGGAGATGGAGGGGGGGGGGTGGGGGGAAAGAAGAAGAGTGGAGAGGGAGGAGGGGGGCGGGAAGCGGAGAGGGGGAGGAGCGGGGGAAGGAGAGGGGCCTTGAGAGTGGAAGGAGAGTGCGGAGGAGGAGGAGAGTAGGGCGAGCAGCGGAGTGGGAGGAGAGGGGAAGGGAGGGGGAGGAGAGGGTGCGCGAAGGGAGGGGCGAAGGAGAGAGTGGGAGAGGGGAGAGGGGTAGAGAGATGGGAGGCGAGGAGGGGCGCGAGGGGAAGCGAGAGTGAAGAAAGAGGAGTGGCGAGAGAGGAGGGGGAAAGGAGAGAGGAGGGAGAAAGAAAGAAAGAGATTGGGAGGGGGCGCGAGAAAGAGAGTGGCGAGGAGGGGGGGGAAGAGAGAGTGGAGTGAGGGGAGGCGCGAAGAGAGAGTGGAGGGAGGGAAGAGAGAGTGAAGGAAAAGAGAGGGGAGCGGAGAAAGAGTTTGAAAGAAAGAGTAGTGGGAGGCGAAAGAAAAAAAGAGTGGGAGGGGAGAAAGAGCGCAGCAGCGAAAAAAGGAGAGCTGGAAGGCGAAAAAAAAGAGAGTGCGAAAAAAGACAGTGGCGAGGAAAGAAAGTGTATGGCCGGGAGGCGAAAAGAGGAAGAGAGGAGAAGAAGAGGGGGTGGCGTAGTGATTTGCGAGCGTGCTTATTTTTTGTTATTTGTATTGCTTGCTAACTGCGAGCTGTGTAAGGATTGGGTGTGCGATGGAGCGGTGTAGCGAAAGGGTCGCTGGCATTCGGGTGAGGAGACGAGCTGGGGGAAGGAGAGGAGGAGGGTGCGGAAAGGAGGAAGGGAGGAGGGAAAGGGAGGGGAGGAAGGGATGAGGAGGAGGAGTGAAGGAGGGAGGAGGAGCGAGGGAGGAGGAAGGGGAAAGGGAAAGGGGAGGAAGGGGAGGGATGGGGGAGCGAGGAAAGGGGAGAGAGGAGCGGGAGAGAGAGGATGAAGGGATTGGGGAGGGAGGAAGGGGGAGATGAGGATAGTGAGGAAGGCAGAGGGGAGAGAGAGACGAGGAGAGGGAGGAAGGGGGGGGGGTGAAACGAATCCGAAGGGCGGCCCGCAAACGGTTCGCAAATGAGATAAATGGCAGCCGTGGAGGGCGACCGGCGATGCCCCTGACAACGTAATTGCGGTCGAAGGGGGGGGGGGCGCCGGGCGTGGGGAGGGGGGGAGGGGGGGGCTCATGCGGATGCTGCCCCCCCCCTCCCCGCTCACCTCTCCCCTCCTCTCAACCCCCCTCCATCACCACCAACTCCCTCCCCCTCCCCTTCCTCTCCTCCTCAACCCCCCCACACCACCCCCCCTCCCCCCTCCCTCTCACCCCCTCTCCCCCTCCCATCCCCTCCGCTCCCCTCCTCTCACCCCCCCTACCCCACCCGCATCACCGAGGGCGAGAGGTGGGCGACGTCTGCTTCTAAAAGGTTCAAAAGCTCAGGGGTTCAAAGGGGTTTCTTGACCTGGGGTTCAGTGCGTCTAGATATGGCTTTATTATTATTTAATTTATCTTTTTTATTTTATTTATTTTTATTTTTATTATTATTTTTTTTTTGTCATGTTTTGATACCGTTTTTTGTAGAGGGAAATATCACGAATATTAATTATTAATTTATCCTTAATTTTATTTTTTTTAGTTTATTAAGAATATATACATTTTCGGTCTTTTCCTGGAGGTATTAAAAAAAACGTTTAAAAATACCGTTTCTCTCCGCTGTTATTTAGAGCAGGAGAGAGTCTCAAAGAGCTTTTCCCTTCTCGGACGAAGGTCATTCAGCGGCGGACACGAGCTCGGATTAATCAAAGAGCGAGCTTAGATCTCTCTATTCTTAGCCCGATTCCACGTCCTAACGAGCAGTTCTGAGGGGGAAACTATTGGCTTGGGGGGGGGGCGGGATGACCTCGTTTGCCGGTGTTCGAGGGTGACCTTGTGGTTGGCTAGTCGGTGGCGTGTGTTTGGTGTCACTTGTGGTGTTCTAGGGTGGTTAGGGGGGTAGGCGGGGGGTGGAGAGTGGGTAATGTGTGTCTTATTCTTTTCTCCTTCTTTTTATTTCTCTTTTCGCTTTCTTTCGCTTTTCTTTTCTCGCTTTCTTTCTCACTATCTTCTCTCCTTTTCTTTCTTTCTCTCTTTCTCTCTTTCTCGCTTTCTTTATCTCTCTTTGTCTCTCTTTATCTCTCTTCTCTTCTCTCCCTCTGTCTCTCCCTCTCTCTCTCCCTCTCTCTCCCTCTCTCTCCCTCTCTCTTCTCTCTCTCCCTCTCTCTCCTCTCTCCTCTCTCTCTCTCTCTCTCTCTCTCTCTCTCTCTCTCTCTCCTCTCTTCTCTCTCTCTCTCTCTCTCTCTCTCTTCTCTCTCTCCCTCTCTCTCCCTCTCTCCCTCTCCCAACCTCCGTGGTGTCTCAGTCTGGCTTACTAGTAACATAGAAATGTTCCTTCCCCATTTCTATCCTTTCCTTTTCTTCTTTCCCCTTTCCCTTCCCTTGTCCTTCCCCTCTCATCAGTTTGTCTGGCTTCCTTCACCCTCTTCTTTTTCTTTTCCAATCATATTCTTCTCCAAAGCCCAGTTCTCCTCTCCTCTACCCCTTCTCTCCCTTTCCTTCCCCCTCCCTCCTCCTCTCCCCTCTTCTCGCTTCCTCCCCCTCTTCTCGCTTTCCTCCTCCACCCCTCCTCCCTCCCCCCTCTTCTCCCTTTCCTCCCCCTCCACCCTCCTCTCCTCTCTTCCTCTTCTCCCTTTCCCCTCCTCCACCTCCTCTCCTCCCCTCCCTTCCCCTTCCCCCTCTCTCCCCCAATTTCCTTGATATAATTATCGCCTCCATAAAACCCTGATGACCCGTCAGTCCGTCCACCGCAGCATGTAACGCTATAACGGTCACCGCGCGTAATGTTAATTAACACTGGCGAATTTGCGTGAGGCTAGCGCTAAATACCCGAGGGAGGGGAGGTGGGCGAAGGAAACTGGGGGGGTGAGAGGGGGGGTAGAGAGGCTGAAGGGCGGGGTTGTTTGGGGAGGGGGGGTCTGTAAAGAGGTTGGGTTTGAGGTAGAGGGCTGGAAGGGGGGCGGGTTGGGGGGGGGGGTGGGTCTGTAAAGAGGTTGTTGGGTGGTTTTGGGGGTCTGGAAAGAGGTTGTTGGGTGGTTTTGGGGGTCTGGAAGAGGTTGTTGGGGTGGTTTTGGGGTCTGGAAAGAGGCTTTTGTAGAGAGGCTTGTTAGGGGTTGTTGGGGTTGTTTTGAGGGGCTGTAGGGAGTCTAGGGGGGGTTGTAGAAGGTAGATGTAATAGGGCTGTGGAGGTTTTAGGGGGAACTGTAGACCTCTATATTCACCTGTAGGGGTGGCTATTGGAGTGTGTAGGGGGAATGTAGGTCTCTGTAGACGATAGGAAGACTACAAGGGCCTTTAGGGGGCTATGGGCCGTTCGTTCGGCATGTTGTTATTTCCTTATTTCTGGGGTTTCCTTAATGACCGTCTTGGGGAGTGATTTCGGCGCCTGGGGATATAGGCCTAGGTGCGGTCGGCTGTTATCGTTGCGTAAGCTACTGCGACAGTCACGAGGCTGGCTTGCTCGTAACATTTTTTTTTTTCTTTTTAATCAGGAGTGGAAGTGCTTTATATATAATATATATATATATATATATATATATATATATATATATATAATATATATATATGTGTGTGTGTGTGTGTGTGTGTGTGTGTGTGTGTGTGTGTGTTTCGTATGTTAACCTAGAAGATTTAGTTTGTAAAAGTATGATTAAATTTTTAATGTTTTAATAAAGTCATGAACAAGGGTTGGATGCATGGTCCAGCCTTGCAATAAACAGTCTAGTGGTTATGAAGTGATTGGAATGCTGATTAGGACTCATTTCTCTGAACAATCTCCCATTTTCTAAGGGCAGTTGATGCAAAATAATTATACTGTCTTCAGCGCAGACTAACCCCCCCCCCTCCCTCCCCCGCAGAGACGGCCGCTTCCGCGTGGGCGACGAGATCATCAACGTGAACGGGCGGCGGCTGCGCGGCGTGACGCTGGACGAGGCGCGCCACATCCTGCGCTCCACGCCCAAGGAGGTGGACATCGTGATCGCGCGCGACGTGGACGTGCACCTGCACCGCGAGTACAACGGGCAGTGCCACGCCCACGACGAGAAGCCCTCGGAGGCGGAGGCGGCGCGGCGGCTGAGCGAGGCGTGCGGCGAGCTGTACACGGCCGACCGCGCCTTCCGCCAGGAGCTGCTGGACGCCGACGACGTCCTGGGCGTGCGGCGGGAGCACTTCGTCCCCTACTCGGACCGGAGCCTGCCCCGGCGGCGGGGGTCGTACTCCGACTACGACGACTATGGCGACTACAGCACCCTGGCGCCGCTCGAGGCGTACCTCCCCGGCTACGACCCCTCCCGCGCCACCGTGTCCGTGTCCGGCCCGGTGTCCGTGACGGTGCCCCTGACGGACTGCCCGACGTCCCTGCCCGCGACGCTGCCCCCCGCCGCCGCGGAGCAGTCCCCCGCCACGACCTTCGCCTCCTCCGTCCCCGCCGCGTGCATGGGCGCTCGCGACGACTACTACGACGTGCACGCGTCCCGGAAGAGCAACCTCCCGCGCTACGTGAACGGCGAGGCGCGGTACTGCTCCTCGCAGGACGTCCGCGACGCGGTGGACGTGCGCTACTCGTCCGCCAGCGACGTCAGACTCTGCGCCGACAAGACCTTCAGCGCCGACATCTACAAGTCCAAGCTGATCCACGTCGAGCCCGAGGACCCGCAGGCCGAGACCCGCCAGGCCAGCATGATCCCCAGGCTGTCGACGCCCCACAGGACGCTGGCGGAGAGCCGATCCAGCCCCGCCACGCCCTCCAGGAAGTCCCCCTTCGGCAGCAGGAAGTACCCCCCCGTCACGCAGCGCTTCGCCAGTCCCCAGGGCTACTCCAAGCTGCCGTCGCCCTCCAAGTCGGAGCCGCGGGGCCTGAGCTCGACCCTCCCGCGGCGCCCCAAGAGCCTGTCCATGTCGGTGCAGACGGTGGTGTTCGAGAAGGGGCGCGGCCGCAAGTCCCTCGGCTTCTCCATCGTCGGGGGGCGCGACTCCCCCAAGGGCAGCATGGGCATCTTCGTCAAGACCATCTTCCCGAACGGCCAGGCGGCGGAGGAGAACAAGCTGAAGAACGGTGAGTGTTGTCGCGTCTCGTTCCGTTTCTCAGGCGCGGCTTCGTTGCGGCGCCGCCTCTCTAGCGTAGGAAAACAAACAAAAGCAAAACAAAAGACGAGGACATTGAGGTGGACGTGTGCCCGGCCGACAGGAGGCGATCGCCGGAAGATTAAGGGAAGGGGTCGTGGCGAAGGAAGCGGTCACGGAGCCGCCCTCCATTGTCATCCACCTGAGCACGTCCACCGTCCTGCTCACCCTTCTTCCCCTCCCCCTTTCTCTCTTCTCCTTCCTTCCCCTTTCTCCCTTCTACTTTCTTCCCTCCCACGCTTATCTCCTCCACGTCCTTCCCTGTTTTCTTCTTTCACCCTTCGCTTACCTTCCCCTCCCCTCCCCTCCCCTTCCCTCCCCCTCCTCCTTCCTCCCCGTTTTCTACCCCCCCCCTCCCTCTTCCCCGCCCTCCTTATTCAAGTGTTCATAGATATGTATAACATTTGACTGTAAAAATAGATTCGTAAATTGCATTTTTTAAATCTACAATATAAAACAATACAAAATACAAAATACAAAATTCCATGTCCGGCCAAAAGGGGAGGAAAACTGTTACCGTTATCCATGTATTTACAATAAGGTTATAAAGCGAATTATATTTTTATTACCGGTCATAAATCCTCCCCCACCCCATCTCTGAACCTCCCGCACCCCACCCCTTCCACCTGCCCCCCCTAACCCCCCGACATGGTCCAACCCCACTCCCACTCTATATACCCCCCCCTCCTCTAATCTCGCTGCTGCTACGATAAAGAGGAAGGAATTACGATGATTATCGGCCATTATCATTCTTATCATTCCATGCAAAAGAAGCTGGCGGAAGGTCAAGGGCGTCTAAACAGTGTGCATGAGCGATGTGTTCTTTTTTTTCTTATTCTCCTCCTTTTCTCCCTCCTTCTCCTTCTTCTTTCTCTTCCTCCCTCCTTTCTTGTTCTTGTTCTTCTTTCTCCCTTCTTCTCCTCCTCTACTCCTTCTACTCTCCCCCTCTTCTCCTTTTTCTTCTCCTTCTCCTCCTCCTCTTTCTCCTCTTTCTCCTCCTCCTCCTCCTCCTCCTCTTTCTCCTCCTCCTCCTCCTCCTCCTCCTCCCTCCTCCTCCTCCTCCTCCTCCTCCTCCTCCCCTCCCCCTCCTCCCCCTCCTCCCTCTTCCTCTTCTACTTCTTCTTATATCGGGTGTTCTTGCGATTATTTTATGGTGCGATTTTGCTTTTTCTTAATTTCCATCGCACTATTTTTTTATTCATTTTCATCGTGCGATTTTTTTATGCATTTTTTTTTTTTTTTTTTTTGGGGGGGGGTATTGATAAGGATAATGTATTACTGGATATGCCGAATAAATGAAGTTCTGATGCAAATGAGGTGTGATAAATATAAGGCGAGTAATAATGGGTGAATAAATAGGTGAATAATAAAGAATTAATAGATATGATGAATGAATGATGGATGAATAAATAGGTGAATGATAAAGAATTAATAGATGAATGAATGGGTAGGGAACAGGACAGGAGAGCAAAAATTAATGAGGAGATTAATTTTAAGAATAGTAATGACTCAATGGAGATATTAGATGGTCAGTTGAATTAGTGGGAATAGAGGATCGGTCGAAATAGAATAGAAAGGTGAGGATAGATAACCTAGTGATGGAGAGAAAATCGCCCCCCCCAAAAAAAAAAAAAAAAAAAAAAAAAAATAAATATAAATAAAATAAATAAAAATAATAATAATGGCAGGAAAAGATATTATTATAAGTAACAACAATCAAATAATTAGATCGACAGAACAACAATAATAAAAAGATAAACAAGAACGGAATAGATAAAGCTTTTATTCTATTTTCTTTCTCTTTCTCCTTTCTCTCTCCTACCTTTCTTCACCCCCTCCTCTCCCCTCTCCCTCCTCCCTCCTCCCCTCTCCTCTCCCTCCCTCTCCCTCCTCTTCCCTCCTTCCCCTCTCCCTCTCTCCCTCCTCTTCCCTCCTTCCCCTCCTCTCCCTCCCTCTCCTGCTCTCTCCTCTCCTCTTCCCTCCTCCCCTCCCCCTCCTCTCTCTCCCTGCTCTTCCCCCCCCTCCCCTCTCCCTGCTCTTCCTTCACCCATTTCATTTCATTATTAAAAAAAAAAAAAAAAATGAAGAATTACAGCGAGAATGAGAAGATAAACACCTGGAGGCGGATATAAGTGTGGCTGAGATGAGGATGCTGAGGATGCTTGTTCTTACTCCGTGTGCGGAGGGAGGCGAGGTGGGGTGGTGGTGGGGGAGGGAGGGGTGGGGGTGGATGAGGGGGAGGGGGGGAGGGGAGAGCGCTTCGGGGGAAGGTTTGAAAGTTAATGGGCTAAGGTTCGGAAGCATCTTGTTTTTTCTTTTTTTTTTTTTTTTTCTTTTTGTATGTATTGTTTCTTTTTCTCCTTTCTCTCTCTCTCTTTATTTTTTTATCTTTCTCTCTTCTCTCTCCCTCTTCTCTCTTTGTTATTTTTCTCTTTCTTTGTCTCTTCTCTCGCCCTCTTTCTCTCTAACACTCCTCTTCCCTCCCTCCTCCCCCTTTGGACCCTCTCTGCCTTCTCCTTTTCCCCTTTCCCTCCCCCACCCCCTTCTCCCTGCTCTTCTGTACCCATTTCACCTCTTCTCCCCCACCCCACCTCCCTACCTTGTATCCCCCCTCCTGAAGCCGTCTCTCCTCTCTCCCCTCTTCCCCTCCTTTCTCCCCCCTCTCCCTTCTCCCTCTCTCCCCTCCCTCTCTCCTCCCCGCCTCTCTTCTCCCGTCCCCTCTTTCCTCTCTCCTCCTCTCCCTTTCCCCTCCCCTGCACCCCCTCCCCCCTCCCCTTCCCCTTCCCCTCCCCCTCCCCCTTCCCCCCCCCCTCCCCCTCCCAACCGCTGGCAGGATGCAAGCTAATTGTGAAGATCCTGCTCCAGATGTCAGCCTCCTTCTTTCATTACGTTGATGGATGGCGCTACAGGTGCTTTCTCTCGTGCCCTCCAGGTGGGCGGGTGGAGGAGGGTGGAGGGAGTGGGAAGAGGGTGGATGGGGGAAGGGTGAGGGGGAAGGGTGAAGGAGGGGAAGGGTGGAGGGTGGTGGGAGGAAGGGTGGAGGAGTGCGAGGAGTGGATGGGGAGAAGGGGTGGAGGAGTGGAGGGGGAAGGGGGTGGGAGGGTGAGGAGTGGAGGGGGAGGGTGGAGGGTAGAAGGGTGGAGAGGTGGAAGGGGAAGGAGGGAGGGAAAGGGTGGAGGGGAGATGGGTGGAAGAGTGGAGGAGGAGGGAGGGGTGGAGGTAGGAAGGGTGGAAGAGTGGAAAGGGGAGGGAAGGAGGTTGGGTGGAGGAGTGTGAGGAGTGGAGGGTGGAAGGGGAAGGTGAGGGTGGAGGATGGAGGATGGAGGAGTGGAGGGGAAGGAGGGTAGGAAAAGTGGAGGAGTGGAGGAAGGGGGGAAGGTTGGACGGGTTCTGGCGAGTGGGGCTTGGTGGAGTGGGGCCTTGGGCGCGGGTAGCTGTGTGGTATTTTGGGTGGAGTGACTTTTGGGAGTGGATTTGGGGTTATTCAGAGGCCGTTTGTGCAGTGTTTGTGTTCCGTTTGTTGCGGGTGTGGGTATGTGCGGGTGTTTGTTTCGGTATTTCTTTTCTTTTTTTTATTTCTTATTTTATTTATTTATATTTTATTTATTTATTATTTTATTTTTTATTTATTTATGTTTTATTTATTTTTTTTATTTATTTTTATTTATTTATTTTTATTTACTTTTTTATTTATTTTTGCGTTTGTAAAGGGCGTAAGGGTCCAGTTGCCTTTTTTTTTTCGTGTTGGTTTTTTTCGTACATGTTTTTTTATGGTCTTTCTTGATTTTTTTTTTATCGTTCATTTTTGTGTGTTTGATTCGCCCGTTTCTTTCCCATGTGTTTAAATCTACTTTTTGCTTCTTTCTTCCTTTCCTTTATTCTTATTTAAATTTACCTTTTTCCTTCTTTCTTTCTTTTTCTTTCTTATATAGATTTACTTTTTTCCTTCTTTTTCTTTCTTTCTTTCTTTTTCTTTCTTTTTATATAGATTTACTTTTTTTTCTTTTTCTTTCTTCTTTCTTTCTTTCTTTCTTTTTCCTTTTTTTCTTTTTCCTTCTTTCTTTCTTTCTTTTCCTCTTCTTTCTTTCTTTCCTTCTTCTTTCTTTTTTCTTTTGAATTTCGTCTTATTGTAGATTTTTCCCTCCTCCGCTTCCCGACCGCGGCGCGCATGGCAAACATTTCCGTTACGGTTTTGAATTTCTTTGATTTTCTTTTTTTTCAGGAGGGGGGGGCGAGGGGGGCGAAGGGATGAAGGGGGGAGGGGGATGGAGTGTCACGTGTGGAATGTAAATCACAATTGATTCCTGGCCCTCCTCCTCCTCCCCCTCTCTCCCTACCCTCCCTCCTCCCTTCCTCTCTCTCTCTCTCTCTTTTACGTTTTTGTAGTGGCTAACGTACATGATAATTACGGGGGGAGGGCTGGTAGGGGAAGGATGGGGAGTGGGGGGGAGAGAGAAAAGGGAGGGGGGTAGGGGAAGGATGGGAGTGGGAGAGGGAAAAGGGAGGGGCTGTTTGGGGGAACAGAGGTGGGGGGAAAGAGGTGGGGTTTGATGGACAGTGAGGGTGTAGAGGGAAGGAAGGAGGGAGGAAGGGGTGGGGGGGAGGCTGTAATTAGTGAAAAGCACGTGGAGTTCGCCAGTTTATTGTGGTGGAGAGGGGAGAGGGAGGGAGGGGGCGGGGTTGGAAAGTAGATGAGCCCAGCACGCACACATTTTTGCGGGAATGCTTGAGAGGGGAGGAGGGGCAAGAGAGAAAATAGGAGAGAAGAAAGAGAGAGAGAGAGAGGAGAGAGAGAGAGAGAGAGAGAGAGAGAGAGAGAGAGAAGATCAGGAGAAAAGCGGAGTGGGGAGGGGGAGGAAAGACGGAAGAGAGACCAGAGTTTCGCGGAATAGCGAAGGGGAAAGTCTAGAAGAAAGGAAAGAAGTAGGAATG